GTTAGATAAATGCACTCCCTCTTTTTTTTTTCCTATTTCCTTATTCCACAATAGGATTCTTCTTTATTGTCCTTGTTTTTGACTGGGTTTGTTCTCTACTTTTTTCTCCCTTCTTTTCTTTTTCCTACTTCAATTTAACTGGGTTTTACTTATCTATTCACTTCTTTCTTATATCCTCACACCTATATACGTTTCCCCCTTCTTCATTTTTATGCCTCTACATTCTTGTATTATTCTCTAGTATTATTCTTCTATATTCTTTCCATTTCTACAATTGTTATTCAGTGTTTTCTAAATTGATATTGCAGTACCTTGCTCTCATATTCCTCTAAGCTTTGGCGTGGTGGTGGTAAATGTTTTTAATTAGTAACTGCCATCATGGGTACATCTATCAGTGCTGGTTGCCTCAGAGAGATTTGTTACTATCTGAGTAGTTCTGGGATCAGGCTAGTTCCTTGAGCATGTTGGGTGAATGCTTGTCTACTGGTCTATACCCACACTACAGTGGTAAAACCTGTACCTCAACCTTGACATTACCCAGTTCTCCTGAGCACTTGCAAATATTTCACTTGAAAAAATACTGGAGATTAAAACCTCCAAGCAACTACTTGACCCCAGATGCACAAAATTGCAACACAGAAATACAAGAAACATAAAACAAAGCAACATGACTCCTTCAAAAGTCAACAGTCCTTCAATAATGGATGCTAAGCATAGCTTAATGGATGAGATTACTTAAAAAAATGATTATATAAGAATGATCAATGAAGTCAAAGAGGAAGGAAATAAATACCTAAACAAATTCAAGAGAATACAAATAAAACAACTGAGTGAAATAATGAGGAATTCAATAGAGATAAAAATTCTGAAAAAAATCAAATTGAAATTTTGGAATGCAAAGTTCAATAACCCAAATAAAAAAACTCAGTTGAAAGTTTACCAGTAGTCTACATCAAATAGGAGGTAAATATCAGGGATTTTAGATTAAGGTAAATGAATTAGAACATTCAGATAACAATAAAAAAGTTAAAATTACACACACAACATACAAGACCCCTGTTGACACCAGTAAAAGATCAAACTTACAAATCATGGCCTAGAAGAAGATAAAAGATAAAGACACCAAAACCATATTCAAAACCAAACCTGATGGTTTGCATTAACAATCAATAACCAATTCTTTGTTGCAGGTAGAAATCCACACCATTGGCAATGACAAAACGGGCTTAAAGTGAAAAGATGAAAAAGGATATTCCTAGAATTGGAACTGGAAAGCAAGCAAAGTCACTTATACTCAGACATGACACAGTAGACTTCAAACCAAAAGTAGTCAGAAAATAATGTCACTTCATATTGATAAAGGGAATAATTCATCAAGAAGATATAACAATTGTAAACATTTCTGCACCAAATTTCAACACACCCAGTTTCATAAACAAACACTACTAAGACATAAAGACACAAGCTCCAATATGATTAATAGTGAATGACTACAATTACCACTATCACCAATAGATAAGCTATCCAGAAAAAAAATCAACAAAGAAACTTCAGAATTAAAGGACAAATGGACTTAACAGACATCTACAGAATGCACACACAA